TCTCTCATTAAGCTATTTCCCAAATTGAAGTAGATAGTTCGTCATTCTAGAGAGAAAATCGGGACGTTTAGGTTAGATCGCCCACTTAGCGATTTCTCCCTCAGCGCCTCCCAATGCTCGGTTCTTCTCAATAGGAGTGCCCACTAACGAGAAAGGCATGCAATTGTTTCGCCGAAAGTCGAGGGCTTGCAGTCGCGCCGCTGCCACTCGCCCCGTTTCAAAAATAGCTCCCAATCTCTAATTATCTTGACATTCAAAATAATAGAGTCAATGTTCAGCACACCGAAGTGATTCAGAAAAGGTGAAAAATTCGTTGCAGGAAATCTGTCCGGGCACTGTCTCTAGCCGTGCGTGCCTTTCTCAATATAGGATAAAGCGAAATTTTAGCATATGCGTGATGCGACATGAGTTGGTGGTCATTTAACTTATCCATTCAATAATATTGGGTTATACTATCGTGTGCTCATAATTACGGAAAAAGCATCTGAATTTTTTGAAAAAAAGGCAAGAAAAGCAGTGATGAAAACTTTTCTTAGATTGTTTCCCTTTTGCAGGTGGATGCTGTCTATACATCTGTTAGAGATATGTGATGAAAGCAACTATATTGTCGAAGCCCTAAAGTTCTGAACAGCAGACCTAGAGTACTTTAACAACTAAATTTTATTAACTATTACATAGTAGAAGTGTCTAAAAATTTCCTAATTAACTGGAGCACAGTATTTCCAAAGAAAGTGATACTCTAAAAGTCGTACTCTCAATGTTTACGAGTGTGAGGCAAACCCAAGATCTTGATAACTCACTGCAGAAACACCTCGGGGACTAGCTTCGTATAACGTTGTTGTAGCTGAAGGATCTGACCATATCAAATCGCACAGTAGCCCAATATCGCAAATGTCTGTAGGACGATAAACTCTGTAAGGAATGTGATGCTAAGGTTTGACCATGCCATGAGTTAAAGAATGGGCAAACCTTTCGAGCTGTTTGAAGGAGAGTAAATCCTCAGAGATACCCCCGTGAGCACAAAATATTCGCGAGCCAACAACCGCAGCTATGGGTAAGCAATTGAAAACGTGTTGAAAAGTTGTCCATAGTTCAACACCTGTCATTATAATTTGCACACAGAACTATCAAATGCACCTTCTCTGTCACAAATTTACCTCGCCGAGGAAACTTTCTTTTGCATTCATCGTAAAAACCATACTGCCTATTGACGCATCTTGTTTCGTGATTGCCGCGAAGCATATATGTTTCTTTTGGGAATCTGAGCTGAATCAATCCTTGCAAAATTCTATTTAGAGTATTATTTTACAGAAGTAGCGAACCTTAAAAGCTAGCAGTAGAGTGATTGTTTCTAAACTGTAGTCTCCTCTGTCAACATAGTCTCCGAGAAAGAGCATTCGTTTCGATGGAGGATGACCAATCTGGAGAATTGCGAGAATTTTATATCATATTTATCTTCAACAAGCTTACGAAGCTCATCATTTCGAGGAGATCATATAGCTGTCCGTGTACATCTCCAATAATTGTGACAGGTGCCTTTACCCTTAAACAAGATGAACGTTTTTGTTAAAGTTCTGCAAATTGGTGGAAGGAAACGAGAGGCACCCTCGCCCTTCTCCTCCCACCTTTCCTCTCTCCTCTCCCGCAAAATTGCCATGAAATTTTTTAAAGACGAAGTGCAAATTTAGTGAAGTAAAAAATGATTCGTTACCCAACTTATAAATTATGTCGAATTGTAACCATAATTTTGAAAAAAAAAACTTATCCGGTCGACTAGAAAGCAGCGTGGCCAGCCTCCTACCTCGGCACTTTTTGATCAGTTTTTTCTTTCCCCCTTTCGAGAAAATTTTTTGCGATGTGAGATACGCACTTGGGGCTGATGCGCTAATCTCAAATGCGTATTTACCGCCCGTCACACTTTTTTTGGAAAGTGTTGCGAAATTTCTGCTCTTTCGAAATTGCTTGTCGGAATTGTTATAATTGGTTCAAGAAAATAACTTGTCTACAGCAATACAAAGTTCATTTCCGAGTAGATTAGAGATTTCATCAGAATTCTTGCCACTTGATATATTTTCACTAATGAGCGCAAATTCGGAAAACGTGTAGAAACCATCCACTCACATAAATCTCGTTTGTAAGCTATTTCGACTTGATTTGTTACGTCGGCAAACATTTCATTGTGAAAATGCACATCTACTGAACTACAGAACGTGGAAAAGCGTAAGACCACAAAAAATGATAACACATTTCTTCTTTTCTCGTCATTCATCTCCAAACCTCATAGAGCATATGTCTTGCGAACCGTTGTGGGGAAATTTTGATGCGTTCTGTTTCTGCCACGCTTTATTTTCAAAAAAATCCTTCTTCCCTCCCTTTCGAGGACGTTTTTTACTTGCAAAATTGCAGCTT